GGCTCGTTGCTAACGCTCGTGCTGGCACAGGTATACTACGCGCATGCGTTCGAGTGCGACGCCTTCACTCTTGCTCTGTCTCTTTCTATTCCCCCTTCGCAGAAACGTTAAACGTTTAACGCAATCTTGTTGGAAGTCGCATTCGAAGTCTTACTTCAAAATAGGTAGCGTAAAAAATTGATATGCGAAGTGAGATCTTTGTTCTGTAAACCTAGAAAATACGCCCAGACATAAAGTACCGCTCAGCTTTGCCGAGGACTTTTAAAATTGTAAAAACAAATTCGGTTGTACCTTCCAAGTAACTCGGATAGTGAACGCCACTTGAAATACTGGCGACAACCATCTCGATGCTCTCAGAAGGACGTAGGAATAATTCGTTATTAATAAAGGATGATCTCAATGGATCTTTCAGAGCGGTTTCCATGCAACATTGGGTACAAAATCTGGAGATCATCAAAGTCTCTACTTAGATTAAGATGCTCCACACAATTGTGTTGCAATGTGGACTGTTTTGGGAAAATAATAGGAAGAATAGTGGCATTATCTTATGCGAGCTCACAACATATTTTATTTTATTATTAGAAATACAAAATTTTTACCGGCATCTTGTGAGCCTGTACGGGTGGATAACATCACCCTGCCTATTTCTGCCGTGAAGCCGTAATACGTTTCGGTTTGAAGAGTGGGACAGCAGTTGTGCTGTAAAAACTGAGACCTTAGAACTCACATATTAAGATGGGTGACGGAATTTACGTTAATAGATGTCTACGGGCTCCGGTAACCATTTGACATCCGGTGAGCCGTGAGCTCGTCCATTTATATAAGCAATAAAAATGTATATGAAAATACGTATTTTTAAAATAAATCTTTGATATCATAATTTCGTAGACGCGTCGATATCGGATTAATTATAATAAAAACAACAAGATAAAAACAATTATACAACAAAATTAATCGTTTTATCTTATTATTATATGATAGCTTGATTGTTTTCCGTTTAAGATTTGAAATAAAGGTTTGCAGTTGATATTGGTAGATGATTCGAAGGATTTTTATTAAATTGATAATTTCAAGGTTTAATGGTATAGTTTTGTTGAAAATTAAACAGGTAGAGCGAACAACAGCTTTTTGATGACATGAAAATTTTACGATCAGTAGACAAGATGGCGTAAATATTGGGTAATAATGATAAGCAGTATGACGCACTTACTATTTCCTGCTTTGCGGGAGGGAAATCCTGTCTGAAATCTATCTACCATATCTCCTAGTTTCTTCGGAATTAGTTTTTAGCGTGTCCAAAACCAACTATCTTCAAGTCCATTGTTCAGAGTATTTTCGTATGTCGTGCGAAGTTAATGTGTTGGAAAATACGTACTTATATATACACAGCGTTGATACAATACAATACGCTTTCTGAAACTTATATTCAGATATTTACAAATTAAGTAAATATGAACAGAATTGGAAGCTGATAAGTTGAACGGACAATTTGATAGACAGTAAAATCGAACGAAAACAAAATAGTGTAGTGTATAGTTTTTCACTTAAAATATAAAAGTAAAAGAAATAAAAGACTTAGAAATAGAAATACAGAAAGAAATAAAAGAAGCATTTGTTATGAATTAGTTCGCTGTTAGATTTTTATGGACCCTGTGTTTGTAATGCCGTGATATAGAAAGCTACGGAATTATACTACATTATTGATGACTACGACAGTTAAAATTAATATTTCTCATAAAGTATTTTTTTTTAGCTTAAAGTAATTCTATTACAACCCTGCCCATTATTAGATTACAAAATTTCTTTAGAAGAAAAAAAAAACACGCTGTGGAGTTATGTAGAATATTAAGTTCACCATTGTTTTTCAAAAACTTAAAAAAAAAAACATTGCTAGCAGTCGAAATTTAACGTATTCGGGAGAAAAGAAAATAAAGACGGTTTCAAAAAAATTGCACATAAAACACTAATCAAACTGTGTCCCATCTAACGACCCATAAATATATTTTGATTAAATAAATACTTTAAATGATAAAAAAATAACTTTAAATTTTTCGGTACAAATCGGCAGTTTCATACTTTAACCCCTAAAAAATTGTTTAATTTTAATTTCTTTTCAAATCACAATTTAGTTTCAGTGCACGGGAAGTTTGTGGCGATGTTTACTGGTGGTAGGACCTCTTGTGAGTCCGCGCGGGTAGGTACCACCACCCTGCCTATTTCGGCCGTGAAGCAGTAATGCGTTTCATTTTGAAGGGTGGGGCAGCCGTTGTAACTAAACTTGAGACCTTAGAACTTATATCTCAAGGTGGGTGGCGCATTTACGTTGTAGATATCTATGGGCTCCAGTTACCACTTAACACCAGGTGGGCTGTGAGCTCGTTCACACAACTAAGCAATAAATAGAAAAAATTATGAAAATTTCACAATTTTCTTGACGCTAAGAAATTTATTGTATAGTTAAATATATATTGCGACAAAGTTGTACGTAATTATAATTGATAAACGTCGAACGGTATTTTTTAGATTAGATATTCTATCGTCGCGTGGGATTGTCGCCTGCTAAGATTACAATGTTGATTCGTGAACAGCCACTACTTTCCATGATTTTTTAAAAGACTAAAGATTCGGAGAACGTAAAACATAAAGCGGTCATTAATTTCTGTTTGAAGGGTGGGAGAAATTTTATGCAATAAATTGAGACTTATTCCCATGTCTCAAGGCTCACCGTCCTTGCGACGAAGGGCTCGACGAGCGAATTAACCCACAGACACAGCCCACTGAGTTTCTCGCCGGATCTTCTCAGTGGGTCGCGTTTCCGATCCGCTGGTAGATTCTAGGAAGCACTGCTCTTGCTAAGGCCAATGTTAGCATCACTCCGGTTCGAGCCCCGTGAGCTCACCTACTAGTTAAGGTTACGCTGAAGTAGCCTTTCAAGGCTATCAGCTTCGGTAGGAAAAAAATGTCTTAAAGTGGTTGTCGGCATTGACGTGTTGACATTAGCAGGCTGACTGTTAAGGTGAATTAGGTGTCGACACTACTTTCTTTTCGATTTCTGACGCAAAGTAGTCACGTGCTTTGTTAGAGGACGTACAAAAAGACCAATGTAAGAATAACCTTCCTTGTAATGCCATCTTTGCAAAGTTTCAAAGTAATCGGATTAAAAATCCGCGGACTCATAGATTACGAACGAGCACTTGGATATAGCGCGCACAGGTACAAAACCGGCTTAGCTCTGCCCCTGGCATTGCTGATGTCCATGAGCGACAGTTATCACTTACCATCAGGTGGGACGCATGCTCGTCTGCCTACAAAGGTAATAAAAAAAACCAAAAAGTTTTTATTCAAGTAAGCATCCGCAAGCGCTTTTAAATCGTCGTGACTGTGCAACAATTTTTACATTTATTAAAATATTTCACTCATAATTCATATTGATTTTATCAGATTCGTAGAATGTTAAAAAAAACATGGATATATCAGCGAAACAATAACAGGCATCCGGCCTAAATAAGTTTTAAAATAAAAGTTAAAAGAAAAAGGAGCTAAAGGTTAAGGGTTTTAAAAATAAAGCATCCTACGTCTTTTTTGTTAGATAACAATTGTTTTATTTTATGATTACTGAATAAGATCTTATAGTGCAAATTTTTTTTTCACGGCAAGCTGCACACCATTCACAAAACATAAAAATAAATATATTTAATTACTGTGTATTAATATATTTTATCTATGGTTTATTTTGGCCTCGAATGACGTCACACGTCGTGAAGATGCTTTCATCAGAATTTGTAAAGTTTACTATTATTGTAAATGACATTCAGTTTGATCTTTTCTATCGCTTGGCTAGTTAAATATAGAATTTGTCTCTTAAGGTGTTTTTCATATTGTTCATTCGTTGCCTATTTATAATAACTAGAGGTCCCGCAGTAGTCGAAATTCGACTATAATTAATTGAAATTGTAAGTTTGTACACTATTAAGATTGTATTTTATACTTCTATAATCACAAATTTCGCCAAGACTACACTATAAAAAATATCAACAAAGACAAACAATATTTAATCTATTCTCAATTTGACAACAGACGCCAAGAACAAAAGTTTGACAATAAATACGTGTGTGCGTCAAATACATGGTATGTAGTGTGTGTAAGTTTTCTTTATTGATTTAATGTATCTTTTATGCATTATTTAAAAAAAAAATTAGCATTGTGCACTTCTTCTCTATATTCTCTATAAGTGTGGAAAATTTCATACTCCTCCGTCCGCGCAATTTTCGTAAAAAGGGATACAAAGTTTTTGCTTCACGTATTAATATATAGATATAACAGCATAATAGTCAAAAGTGTCTTGATTTATCTTTCATTAACGATACGAAGCATACCGATGCGAAATTTTTTACTGATTCGCACGAAAAACAATTCTCAAATATTAGAATATTGAAATCAGGTGTCAATACAAATCACGAACAAATGTAATTATTCAATTAATTAATATGATAATCTATAATTTTGTGTACCTACAGAATGTTACACAACGATAAGAATCTTGAATTGCTTTACTATATAACGAACTGTAAATCGAATTAGTATTCAATCATTTTACAGCAGGGTGAGTGATCATTGTAAATATATAAATTCACATTCAACATTTAATCTTTTTTATTAATTAGCTGAAATATCATCCAAACGTGCGGGCTTGCGTTGCGATCTATTTAATAAAATTCGTTAATTCGTTTAAATATTTTCTTTGTTATTTAAACAGCTTGAGGGAGTTCATATAGAGTATCTTCTTTATTTCGCCGTAAAGTCGTGTTTTATGTAATTAACACCACAGTTGGCACAATATAAATTTTATTGTTGTGGCGGCATAAACAATTCTAAGTAATTATATTACATTAGTTATTAAACACATTATAAATTATTTTTACATTTTTAAATTTTCGGCGGTAAAAAAGGTCCCGTGTCACAGACTATATTCTGTTTTCCACCTCTCGTGCGTTCCGGCTTACGCATCATAAAAAGGTGCGTACTTAAACGCTACAAGCTTATAGAAATATATCACTGATACTACATATATTTAGAAAAGTGTTTTAGATTTTAATTCGGTCACAAATAACAATCTTAAGTATCACTTGACACTCAGAAATCAGTTTGTAATCAATCGTCATTATCAACGGCAAGCATTACAGCTATTTCACGGAGACTCTGTCAATAAAAAAGTGCGTCATATTATAAAATTACATACAGTGGATTTCATTAATAACGACCTCGGTTATAACGACTTTTTGGTTATAGCGACGTCAAACTTACGTCCCTTGAATTTAAAGCATACTTTCCTAAGAAATTCATTCGGTTATAGCGACTTTGCATATAGCGTCAATTTCGGGTATAGCGGCTTGTTTTTATGAACCATTTATGATAGATTCCCAGAAATCCCGTACGGATATTGCTATTGAGTCGGCAAAGGCACAAAGATTTGTTTATAAAAATATTAAGCTTTCTTATCCTTTGTTTACATTCACAAATGGTCAAACATATGCTTTGTTTGTACAAAGCATTTGCTTGACCATCTGTACTAAGTAGTCCTCTACTCAGCACGGGAAACTAATGTGAATATTGACGATCAAGTTATCACTAATGATAACTTAACTTCACTAATGATAATGAAATTATTGAGTCTGTGTTTCAAACACAAGAAAAGAAGAATGAAGAAAAGGAAGAAGATTGCAATCTAAATGAAATTCCAACAACTAGAGATGCATTATGTGCTATAATAATGCTGAAAAAGTACTGTTTATTTGGTGAAGGTCAAAATAATTTAGATATAGAAGGAATTATGAAAATGGAATACACCATATAGCGTGCAGAAACAACTAAACTTAAACAGTGCCCTATAACACGTATTTTCAATAACACTCGTGTCTACCATAATTAAATAAATAAGAAGTAAATACTTAAGTACATGACTTTTTATTATTTCGGATATAGCGACCTCCGGATATAGCGACGACATTAAAGTGCCCCTCCGCCGTCGTTATAACCGAAATTCACTGTATTTCATCAGTCATAAATTATTTATCAATCAGTCATTGACAAAAGAGAGGTGATTTGATTTCGAACTTAATTGTTAACTTTTTTATTTATTTCAGCACGGACGTCATGAAGATTTTCGTTGTTCTAACCGCAATTCTGGCTTGTGCCAGTACACAAACTTTTGATGAACAGACGGGTGTGTAATCTATACTAATATATAAATCTACAGTGGTTTTTACGGATGTTCCGTTATAACTACTGAACCATGCATCCGATTGACTTGAAACTTGGTATCCATATAGAAAATACATGTACTTAATGGATAGGCTAACATTTATATGAGTATTGGAATCTCCACACCAGTTGCGGGGGCATTAATGATGAGAATCTTTGTGGGGGTGAGAAATAATAATGTTAATTTTAAATGCCCAGCGAAGCAGACAGGCACAGCTAGTAATTTATATTTTAGGATCTATATTTTTGGATCTATCTATTATATTCTAGGAAAATACAAATCTATTTATTTAAAAAATAATTTTAGCTTGTAATTTTCAGTTCATGGGCTAGCTGTATTAATTTTTTAATGATTAGATATTAGATAGCAGGAAGTGAGTAGTAAAAAAATAATAATAAATAATAAAAACGCCTTCTCACATGTAGTTTTATTCAAGCTAGCTCGCTCTTAAACTACCTTTTGTAGCGCATTCCCAGAATATTAACGCGTTACCATAGGCTGTTCTCTCTAATAATATGATACATTTTTTTATAAGTATTTCTAATTATTATTAAAACTTGAAAGTAATAATAGTATGAATAAAAATTTATAGAGATAAACGCACGTCAAGAGCGCTTGGTCACTAACCAGATTGCTTCCGCCATCGAAGATATCAGAAAGCAAATAAGAGAAGCCGGATTCGATCCACTGGACGTTGATAGAAGAGAAATTGTCATCCCTCCAGAGGAAGAGTAAGATTCTCTTGTTTTAAACCATAGACAAAAATGAATGCCAACCACGGGCGTTGTATTACTTAATTTCGGATGAAAGACTGAGCGGCTTAAAGGCTCAATACTTCTTTTTTTTATTGCTTAGATGGCTGGACGAGCTCACAGGCCACCTGGTGTTAAGTGGGTACTGGAGCCCATAGACATCCACAACGTAAATTCGCCACACACCTTGAGATATCAGTTCTAAGTTCTCAGTATAGTTACAACGGCTGCCCCCGAAACGCATTACTACTTCACCGCAGAAATAGGCGGGGTGGTGGTACTTACCCGTGGGGACTCACAAGAGGTCCTACCACCAGTAAAAATACTTCGACCTTTACAGATCGGTTAGAATGAAAAACAATATTTAAATTATAAGAACATTGAAATCTAATTCGATCTGAGACCAATTCGTAAACAAACAATATTTAAATTTTAAATTTGTTTGATTATATTTAAATCTATATAAACAAAAATGAATTGTTGTTCGTTAGTCTCGCTAAAACTCGAGAACGGCTGGACCGGTGCTGGAAAGGTGAAAAAATATGAAAATGCTCGGAATTATATAAAACAAACAATTTTGTTTTTCCTTTGATGTGTCGGACGGATTCCTTTTTTTTTTTAAGTTTATTTTATACAAAAGTTTAGGTCTTTTATTTGTCGATTGAGGCACTACGGTCTGCAGGGTCAGCTAGTTATTTATAACTTTGTATCCCTTTTGAATTGAACTGAAATTCTAATCGTTCTAAACCTGTGCGTTTTAATTTAACATTTTTATTGTTCGTTTTGCAGCTTCCATGCACTTGCCGCTTTCGCCGAGGACATCAAAAGCACTGGATTAAGCAACATCGTCATTATCACTAACAATTTTAGCATCCTTAGCGCCCGTCTCAACTTAGTCCTGAGTCTACCTCGTGTTGAAGCTAGCGTTGGTACGTTAATATGCTTGTTAATCTTCATTTCATTTCCATTGAAATTTCTACACCTCAGTGTCCTTTTCAAGAGATTTAAAATACTTATCTTGTTGTCTACGGTTTTACCTTTTGCGAGTACTGATCATCATCGATGCGACACAATAGAGGTACTTCTATGATAATATTCTATTGTCTTCATTAAACTATACACGTGGGTAATTCTTATCAACTACTGCTATAATCAAAAATGTTTTCATTCTAATTATCTACTTATCTTATACCTTTAAACGAGCATTTTTTGTATATTAATATATATGTATATAATTTGAATCTCGGAAACGGCTCCAACGATTTTCTAAAATTTAGTATATAGGGGATTTCGGGGGCGATAAATCGATCTAGCTACGATTTATTTTCAGAAAATGTTGTTTTATTCGTGTTTTCAATAATCGACTCTTCCCGACATCTATTGGCGAATAATAATACTATTTTTCTTAATTGAGGGCAACTAACCGCTTTAAAGACACAACAAGATGGCGTTATAAAAAAAAACCTCATCATCTAGTTTACGTAGTGTGAATTCAAAGTCATTGTAGCGGAGTCGCACGTGATCTCAAAATGAACTTTTCCAGATTCATTTTTATTAATTTATTGTTTATAACGGTGGAGGAGCTTATGGCCCATCTGGTGTTAAGTGTTTCAGAGACATCAAAAACCTAAATGCCGCCATCCACCTTGAAACGTGAGTTTTAAGTGTCAGTTTTACAGTGCATAGGCTGCTCTATCCTTTAAACCAAAACGCCTTACTGCTTCACAGAATAAATAGGCAGGGTGGTGGTATTTATCCGCAAAGACTCAAAAGATTCCCTGCCGCCAGTAAATAATCTATACATCTATGCCAGTAAAAGTATCAAATGATGGTCAAACTTTCATTTTTTACAGGTGCTGCCCGTGTTGAGCTTAATGTGTTCGATTACGAAGGCTACGCTAGCGCCAGTGGACGGTAACAATTATTTAAAATAATCAAAATACCTTTTACCAATTATTGAAAATAATTAAAAACACGTGTGGCACTCGGGGACTGCCGCGGTAAAGCTATTGCATAGCATTTTTTATCAACTTATGCAATTATAATTAGACAATAATAATTTAATATTAAAACAATAAAATAAGATCACGCTATATTTATAAACATTAACAAAAGCAAAACATTAACTGTCCCCTTCACACTCATAAGCTAGACCGCGCGAGAGAGATGGTCAGACTTTTCATGATGCGTATGCAGTGTGACGTCACGCCGCGCGCTTATTCACAAACACTACACAAGCGCAACGTGTGAATGTGTTGAACGCGAGCTACATGGTAGCCGGAGTGGGGGGTGTTAGGTTTTATTTTCGTTACGGAATTACTTAATTCGGTCGCCGCGCTCAAAACTCTCGATAAAAGCTATGCAATAGCATAACAGCAATTAATTAAAATATCTTCCTTTGATAACTATATAAGAATAAGCGGTCTAATTTCTCTAATGAGGCATAAACGATTTTGGTTTTCGCTACAGAATAACATTAAATTTGAGCCAAATTCTAATAAAGTTTTTTTTTAAATTTTTTTATTGCTTAGCTGTGTGGACGAGCTCACAGCCCACCTGATGTTAAGTGGTTACTGGAGCCCATAGACATCTACAACGTAAATGCGCCACACACCTTGAGATATAGTTCTAAGGTCTCAGTATAGTCACAACGGCTGCCCCACCCTTCAAACCGAAACGCATTACTGCTTCACGGCAGAAATAGGCGGGGCGGTGGTACCTNCCTGATGTTAAGTGGTTACTGGAGCCCATAGACATCTACAACGTAAATGCGCCACACACCTTGAGATATAGTTCTAAGGTCTCAGTATAGTCACAACGGCTGCCCCACCCTTCAAACCGAAACGCATTACTGCTTCACGGCAGAAATAGGCGGGGCGGTGGTACCTACCCGTGCGGACTCACAAGAGGTCCTACCACCAGTTACGTCATTAATAACCATTTTTCGTTACAGTGCCGCCATAAACAACCTTCGTGTTAGCGCTGAAGTGCGTATAAGCATAAGCGTCGTCTCAGGAATTTCTATTAGGAGTCTCAATATAGACCTTACCTTAGGAGGAGTTGAGGTAACTATTTCTTAACGAAATGAAATACATCGCCCAAATTATTTGCATCTAAGTAATCAAATCATTTGATATAAGTAATCGCAGGGACATAATTGAATATCTGCCCAGAATACGGTACGATATTGTAGACTTACTTAAGTGATGCCAGGAGATCAGAGAATAATAATCATAGTCCACTGTGTAATAATCACGTTACAATCGATTTAAGGTTGTCGAAATGAATTTCTTGAGGCTAGTATTTGCGATATTAGGCTAGTATTGCGGTAGTGACTGTCGCTCATCGATTTATGGACCCAATTTTATTAAACAAAGTTTTAAGAATGACTTGTCTTTGTTTTCTGAATATATTCAGGAAAAGAAGATTTTATTTATTTCTAATCATTTATCGATTTTGAAGTTGAAGATTATAATGATTTTATTCGATTGAAATGTTCATTTTTTATGTCTCATGGCAGGCGACAGCTTCGACAATGAACTCTTCTCGGTATCTAATAGGGCTTTAATAGCAGATAAGCCTCAATACTCCTACAAGTCAATGGTGAAATTTAAGAGGAGAATTCATTCTAGAGCTTCTTAGGATGATGCTATATTTAACTGTTTTTACTTTTTTCCAGGCGGATCTAAATGTTAATTTGTTTGGACGCGACCTCTCCGACACCATCACTAACTTCCTCTCACAGACCGTGCCAACCACTATTGCCAATAACAGGGTAAGTTATGGAGTAAGGATCGATAACAAATTATATAAGCTCCGTAGCATTAGAGATTTAGGAGATTTAAATTAAGAATTTAGGAGATTAAAGACAAAAAGATGAGGATTAGGTACCTATAAAAGCCAAGGGAATTATAATTAAGGTTTGTTATTATTACTCACGAACTTAATATCTCAGACTTCTTTAACTCAAACCACTGGTCAAACGACCAAAATATCTTTGGCTCGATAAAACCATCATATATTTCGCAGCCTTCAATTACTACTACTGAGATTTGAATTGACGGAGAATTATGTTTGAATTTACAAATCTAACTTCATTAAATTGAACTCCCGGATAATGTGGCATTCCAGGTAGCCTGTTAAATGATATTGAAATAGAGAGGAAAAAAATTTAAACTTCCAATTAATACGAGGTACACATATTTGTCAATGTGGACGAAAGGAAAATTAAAAGGATAATAAATAAAAAAAATATGTAGAAATTTATTTTCAAACTAAGCTTATATTTATCGAATGTAAATATTTATTTATAATGATAGGTCTACAATTTAAAACTTTTGATTCGTGTTTTTTTTTTCCAGACCACAATCAACAGGTTTTTGGAATACACCCTGCTTCAAATAATCGAAGATTTTCTTCCCTAAGCAACAACAACAAACAACTAAGTAAATTAATGAATAAAATAAATTGATTTGAGTTTGTCGTTTCGTTTTCTATTCCTTTAGAATTAAAGAAATTTGATTTACATATACAATAATTTATTATTTTAAAAAGATTTTTTTACGCACGTAATGAAAAACATCTTTAGTTTTAAAAATAATTTTCTCAGACAAGTTTACTCACCTGTCGTTCAATAAAGAGAATTAATTCAATCTTATACATATAATATAATCTATATAACTAGTCAGGTCATAAGTATTGTCACACAGTAAAAACTTTTCTTTTAGAATGCTGGCCACAAAAAAGTTTATTGAATTCGAATTTCGAATTGTTCATGAAAATAAAAATGTATACTTTTAGAATTTTACTCATTTTTAAATATGGAGTGGACGCTTAAAGAAGACCGTGTCGCAGTTATTGCGTTGCATCGTTGCGGTTACGCGCCAATTCAAATTTTTTACATACTGAAAAATTTGAATATAACCAAAAGATTCGTTTATCGTACCATCAAACGATACAATGAAGACTCTAGTGTAGATGACAGGTCAAGAAGTGGTCGCCTTCGGTCTGTTAGGACTCCAGCAGTGATAAAAGCTGTGAAGGCGCGAATTCAAAGAAATCCCAAACGTAAGCAGAAACTGTTGGCCCTTCAGATGGGGTTAAGCAGAACCATGGTGAAAAGGGTGTTAAATGAAGACTTAGGGCTTCGGGCATATCGAAGAAAAACAGGACATCGTTTGAATGCTCGTCTAATGGACCTGAGACTGAAGAGATGCCGCGCTTTGTTGAAGCGGTACGCGGGAAAAAAATATCGGGAAATTCTTTTTTCGGATAAAAAATTTTTACCGTAGAAGAGAGCTACAACAAACAAAATGATAAGGTGTACGCACACAGTAGTGAAGAAGCGAGCAACCGTATTCCGCGTGTCCAACGAGGTCATTTTCCATCCTCGATCATGGTATGGTTGGGAGTTTCTTATTGGGGCTTAACAGAGGTACATTTTTGTGAGAAAGGTGTAAAAACGAATGCAGTTGTGTATCAAAATACAGTCCTGACGAACCTTGTGGAACCTGTTTCTCATACCATGTTCAATAACAGGCACTGAGTATTCCAACAAGATTCGTCGCCAGCTCATAGAGCGAAGAGCACACAAGACTGACTGGCGGCGCGTGAAATCGACTTCATCCGGCACGAAGACTGGCCCTCCTCCAGTCCAGATTTGAATCCGTTAGATTACAAGATATGGCAACACTTGGAGGAAAAAGCGTGCTCAAAGCCTCATCCCAATTTGGAGTCACTCAAGACATCCTTGATTAAGGCAGCCGCCGATATTGACATGAACCTAGTTCGTGCTGCGATAGACGACTGGCCGCGCAGATTGAAGGCCTGTATTCAAAATCACGGAGGTCATTTTGAATAAACTTTAGTGTCATAAGAATCTATGTTTTGTTAAGTTCATTTTGTTATATGAATGGTTACATAATGAATAAACTTGTTTCAATTATTTTACATTAAACATGTGACAGAATTTATGACCTGACTAGGTATATATATAAATGAATTGCTGTTCGTTAGTCTCGCTAAAACTCGAGAACGGCTGGACCGATTTGGCTTATTTTGGTCTTGAATTATTTCTCGAAGTCCAGAGAAGGTTTAAAAGGTAGATAAATATGAAAATTCTCCGAATTAAATAAAGTTTAGGTATTTTATTTATCGATTGAGGCACTACGAAGTCTGCCGGGTCAGCTAGTAATCAATAAATATAATAATAATGTTTCAATTATTAATTTAAATATTGTTTTCGTTTTCCAGATGAGTGAATATTTTGTTAGATGAATTTATTATAGTTTTAATTTTATGTTGTCAATAAATCCAAATTACAGAAAACGCGGTAAGTCTTTCATTGTCTGGAGTATTTGATATCATTATACATAAAATATTTGATAAACAATATTTTTGAATTTAATTTACAAATACAATAAACATTTATTTTTTACATACACGATAAACATTTCTTTTAGAAATAAATTTATACACATGTAACAAACAACCATTTTTGAATTTAATGAACATAATTTCAAGCAAAATCTAAGATTGCTAAATATTTCGAACAAAGATTCTGACTGACCGTCAATATTAATGCCAGAATGATCACTGATCGTGTAGCTTTCAAAATAAAGGCTGGCTAGCTTTTTCTGAACGAGTTGGCAGAAACATTTAAGAACTAAACTTGAAATCCAATGTGATTGTATTTTCTGTTCGATACAGGTACTAAATGTAATTTTTTGATGTCTGATAAATGTGTTTTATAATTATATTATGTAGAAATGTGGAAAAGATCAAAACCGTAAAATTATACTTTGCATAATTACTGGTAGTAAGACCTCTTGTGAGTCCGTACGGGTAGGTACCACCACCACCATGCCTATTTCTACCGTGAAGCAGTAATGCGTTTCGGTTTGAAGGGCGGGGCAGCCGTTGTAACTATACTGAGACCTTAGAACTTATATCTCAAAGTGAGTGGCGCATTTACGGCGTATATTTCTATGGGCTTCAGTAACTACTTAACACCAGGTGGGCCGTGAGCTCGTCCACCTATCTAAGCAATAAACAAAAAAAAAGAAAATGCGATCATAATCCTCAAAAGGATACAACTAATAATTTGGGTGTTCCAAAAATGACACTCTAAACTTGATACATCTGAAAGTTTTATTGTAATTTCGATCCTAATAATGAACTGAACTTGCATTGCCATTTAAATACACACTTTTTCTCCTACCTACGCCGAAAGTTCAGTTTTCGTCCCGCTGTACAGGGAAGAAAGTGTAACTTTTTCTCCCTGGGTACTGACAAGTGCGCATGCGCGTTAGTGTACGTCTGCTCTCACGCACCTAAAATTCTCCGCCATTGTTGTGCTCGGGTAATTTGCAATATTGTGTTTGGTGTAAAATTGAAATAAACAAAAGGCAATAAAATTTAACAGTGAAGTATTAAACAAAGATGAGTTCATCAGACAGTTCTTATTTAATTAGTAGTAGTTTATTTAAAAATTAAAAAACAGTTAAATTGTATTTTTTATGAGTATGGGGGGCTCGGCCCCCCTACCCCCGGCTCGGTACTCCACGAACTTTCGGCCTGTTAGGAGAAAAAATAGTATCTGCACCGCGGGAAAAGAGTTGGACATTTCCTCCCACGTGTTTGCCCGGAGAAAATGTCCAACTTTTCTCCCTTGGTGCACAATGTACTATAGTTGTTTTGTGACAAGAGCGACCAGTGTCGAGAATTACCCTGTCACCGGTAAAGTCTATTACTACCTAATCTCTGTAGTAAATAAGTATTGATATCATTTAGTGATATAAATACCTGTTCCAAAAATCATTTACGTCACATATGCGATTTCCTCAATATGGAATTATGATAAGGAAAATATGAAATGTATCTATATATTAATACGTGAAGTAAAAACTTTGTATCCCTTTTTACGAAAATTGCGCGGACGGAGGAGTATGAAATTTTCCACACTTATAGAGAATATAGAGAAGAAGTGCACAATGCTAATATATTTTTTTAAATAATACATAAAAGATTCATTAAATCAATAAAGAAAACATTACACACACTACATACCATGTATTTGACGCATACACGCATGCATACTACTTACTGTCAAACTTTTGTTCTTGACGTTTGTGGTCAAATTGAGAATAGATTAAATATTGTTTGTCTTTTTTAATATTTTTTATAGTGTAGACTTGGCGAAATTTGTGATTATAGAAGTATAAAATACAATCATAATAGTGTACAAACTTACAATTCCAATTAATTATAGTCGAATTTCGACTACTGCGGGACCTCTTGTAGGTAATAAATGGATTAAGATGTGATCAGCCATTGGTGGTGGTAGCGGTGACGGAATCACGTTTTTTTGCATTTCTGCCCCTTTCAAGTTTGGTGCTGGAACCGGGTATTTAAGCCACAAGCAGTGCGGTAGTTCGAAGCCCCCTGAGTTTCTCGGTGCGTCGATTCTGATTAGATGGTACATTCTGCTAAGCATTGCGCTTGCTAAGGCCAGTATTAGCATATTCCGGCCTGCTAATCCGCCCGCCGCGGCTGTTTAGATAGAATTAGAAATTTATGTCATACTAGTAGACCCGACGAACTTTGTTCCGCCACACGCTTATTTCAAACACATCAACCGGTCAACTTCAAAATTCTACTATAACTAACCATAGAATATATAACGTTTAGCTGTCAGTTGCGTTTTGTTATTCCATATCAGTTGCGTTTTGTTATACCACGTTTTTTGTCGCGTCCCACGGGAACGTGATAAAAAGTATCTTATGTCCTTCTCCTGGTTTTAAGCTACCTCCTCACCAATTTTCACCCAAATCAGTTCAGCCGTTCCTGAGTTATAAATAATGTAACTAACACGAGTTTCTTTTATATATATATATAGATTAATTGAAAAGTTATTTGTATTGTGGAGTAAATAAATGTTTTTTTTTTTTTTTTATTATTATTATTATTCTCTCAGGTTGAGCCCGTGAGCTCACCTACCCGTCCGCAAAAATTTGAAATAGCTCCTTAGGCTACCAGCGAATAGGTAAGGAAAGAAATGCACTAGTTCTCTTTGCGATAGAAATACAATACGAAACATTTTATTGCACTCAAAACACAAAAACTATAATTGTATGTAACTGTATGTATAACTGTAAAAACTGTAACTATACTTGAGACCTTAGAACTTATATCTCAAGATGGGTGGCGCATTTACGTCGTAAAAGTCTATGGGCTCCAGTAACCACTTAACACCAGGTGGACTGTGAGCTCGTCCACTCATATAGCAAAAAAAAAAAAATTAAAAAAAAATATATATAAAAAATACGACAATATACAGAAAGTGTAAATAAGAAACTCAAACTTAAAATGAAATGGGTGGAATTATCACTGAAAGCGATCTCTCTTAATCAACCCCTAGATGGAGATGATTTAAAAAATTGAA